ACGCAGATAATTATAAATCAGAAACCGCAACCAAAGATAGATAAAAGTCTTACTGTACGCCGCCCTCCACTGTGCACTACCAGTTGCCTCCTGTGCCGTGCACACACAATACAGCAACAACAATGTAGCAGTTGCCGCTTTGGCACGGACCACTTCACTCAAGGTATGCGTCAAAGGAGGATTCATAGTTGGTAAGCATGCGCCGCTCAAACTCACGCAAATCCCCTGTCCTCGTTTTTCAGCGTCGCTCATGCAGATAGAAAATTGAGCATTTAAAAGCGTCAAGTTGAGTACGTCCTCACCAGTGGCACACTCCAAATGACATGGTCAGTGCAGAGATCATTCAAGTAATGCTTTGACGGCATACCCACTCACAACAATTTGATGTTTTTCATCTTATTGTAGAACTTGCTAGAGTTCATTATTTGCGAAGTCAGTTCGGTATGCCTTTTTCCTATCCAATCTATTTACTTCATCCTAAAATTTCCCTCCCATGTAAAGGTGGACTTGAGAAGAACGTATTTCAATGAATAATGTGGTCTGTATGCATAGTGTAAATGCCAAGTTGTCGTCTAATTACTGTGAGACATTAATTGTAGCACGTTCTAGGAGAGAAAACAGTACTGGAGATACGCAGGCAGCGTTTGACTTTGAGCACTCCCTCAACTGTCCACAAGAAGTCCTTGTCAATAAAACATTTAAATGTGTTCGTACAATGAGGGCTGCAAATATTGTCCATGCCCCTGTGCAGTGGGAAGACAAGCCACACTATAACCACGAATTCTCAGGTTCGTGTGCTCAGTTGTGTCTTTCTTATAATGCTTTGCCTATTTCAAGTCAGCATAAAGGTGAAGAGGTGGTCCGCCTGTACTTTAGGCGCGAACTATGTATCTCTCGGTGTCTCTTTACTAAAGGACTACGAAAACGCAGATCCTCCTTACAAATTACCTGCACAGTTGATTTATGGACCCATTACTTCCCACCAAGCCGTCTTGCATACCGTCTGGTTTATGAGCAATAATGGGAGCATTCGTCTTACAGTAAGTCATCAACTCATAAGTACAGCCACGAATCAGGAAATTCTAGTCAGTACTTGCAATAGTATACTGAGTTGGTGCAAATTATTTTCAGCATGGGCGTCTCAAGTGTCACAGATGATACGCATTTGATTACGAGAAGAATCGGTGTTTTGATGGATTGGAAGCTCAAGTGGTGTCGCATCTCAAAGGTGGGGTTATACAAGCCTGCTCTAGAATCTCAGATAGACCAATAAACAGTTAATATCAAATTTAATTTGACTTTTAAATTTTCAAATAACGCATGTTTTTAAATCAGTGTTAAATTATTCAAAAAGTTCTTCTTTCATTCTTACCTAAGAACACATCATCATTCATTTTTGCAAATGGTTTACGGGTTCCTTTCCTACTTTCTAGGCAAATATTCCCCTTGCGTGATTACCCCTCATCTTTTATTGTCGACCAGTAGACACTGACAACAAAATCTTTGCAAATGCAGCGCCTTCGCTCACTGTTTCTTCATTCACCTAGAAGATTTGGGCAAAGGGCTGCCAAAACGAACTGCAAAATAAGCGTAGGCAGTTAGTCTAACAGTTGGC